GCCTCCAAAGCAGCCGTCATCCAACTCGCGCGCAACCTCGCGTCCGAGTGGGGCGGGCACGGGATCCGCGTGAACACCATCTCGCCGGGCTACATCGTCACCGCCATGGTGGAGGCCCTGTTCGAGACCTTCCCGGAGCGGAAGGAGGAGTGGCCCAGGCAGAATATGCTGGGCCGCTTGAGCCGGCCGGAGGAGTATCGCGGGGTGGCGGCCTTCTTGATCAGCGATGCGAGTAGTTTCATGACGGGGAGTGACTTGAGGATGGATGGAGGGCACGCTGCTTGGTGAATGGAGATAGGGAGAGGGGATTCCGGTTTTTGGACTTGTTCGACATGGAGAGTAGCCGTTCTTTTTTTTTTTTTTTTTGTTTTTTGTTGACGCCTGCACTGGTGCAGCGTTGAAAAGGATTCGGAACAGCGAGATTGAAATCAGACAAAACATCTGTACACGCCACGAGTCTATGTGGGTTATTCACGTGGCCCTTGGGGACCTCCACTCGAACAGGGACAGGTAAGCAGCGAAGCAGCAAGAGACAAAGTCGAAAAACTTACTGCCAACGCCGATTCTCCCGCAAGAATCATTCGGAGATCCCGGAATACGTGGTCTTTCTTTTTCTTCTCGTACATGTCGCCCCATCAGCTACCAACACCCACCACCCCCTTCGCTCCCAGTTTCCTCACACTACCCTCTCCCAAGCCCAACTTCCGCTCAATCTCCCCGCCCTCAAGCCCTTTCACATCCCTCAGAAGCAAGATCTGCTTGAGCGTGTGGACATCTACAAACCTTCTCCCCACCGCACTACTCTTCCCGGTCCTCGCAAACTCCATCTCCGCCTCCTCCGCCAGCCGAGACCTCGCCGTCAACAGACGCACCGCAGCGTTGGGCCGTGGCGCCGATCCACCATCGGCCGTCGGGAATATCGATTGCTGGGGGGTGGAAGCTGAGGGCTGGAACCCAGACGATGCGGGGGACGGGTCGGAGGAGGGCGATCGGGGTGCGTTGGACCGACAGCCTGAGTTTTGGGGCGGGAAGGAGAAGGTCGAGGACTTGGACTGGGTGGGATTGGGCTGCACGGGGCCGAGAGTGCGGAGGCGTGCATCCAGGGCGAGGTCTGGGTCGGAGGCGTCGAGGTTGATGGCTGTTGTTCACCTCGTCAGCGTTGCGCTCTTCTGGGTCTGGCTATCCCCTCCGTGGCCACGGATCTTGCGCACTTACCCTGGTCTCTCATCTCACTCATGTGTGTCTCGGGGTGCACTGTTGGTCCTATGCTGGCCTCGCGAGTCGGTCTATGAGGCCGCGCATTCGTGGTGGTGTTTGTGGACGTGGTGGGAGGCGTTCTGGTTGGGTATTTGCGCGCCGTTTTTGTAGCTGCTGCTGGGAGCTTGGAAGCAGCATTTGAGGCTTTGGATGCCGAGGAGCCCATTGCGATTGCGATTGCGATGGACCGCAGTCCGGCAGGGTCGAAGATGGTTGTGGTGATCTCAAAGGGTTGAGTGCTGTGGTGATGTCGATGATTTTCCCGTGGCCCGGGTGTTGAGCCTTGCGAACAAGGCTGCAAAAGTAGGGAAATTTATTGGAATGCAGGGTGGCCCGGGAGCTTTGCGAAGAGCCGCCGGGGAGACCTCGTTAAATACTTAATCCTATAAAGTAAAAACCCGCCTTGCAGTTATGAGCTAATCATATTTACGTGAAGCTTTCTGACTACGTACTACGTCGCAGGCGTAAGTATTACCCCTTGAGGGTAGGGAAAACAGGGGGTTTAAAGTGGAAACTAAACTTTTAAGGCACCCTCGAGGGGTAATACTTAGGCCTGTACCGTGGTAGTCTTTCGAATCTTCGGAAGCTCACGGCTGTACAGTACAGGCAGAAGCGTCACCTTACAAACCGGGAAGTTTAGGCATGAAATACTCCGCAAGCGTTCACGCAGAGTGTGTTCCAGGTCACCGTAACTTCAAAAAGCGTAGATAGCCTCGACGGGGCTTCACAGCGATGATAATGATGATGATAGATAGAAGTTGACCTTTGTTCTCGCTATTGCTCGCATAACGATATCTCAGACAACATCTAAGCAGATATACCGCGCTGAAATCTCACCCCTTTCCGTCCAAGTTCCGTGCTTCGCAATCCATCCCCAAATGCACATGAACCGTCGCATGCCATTGCGTTCGGATCATCGCGCGCACGGGTTGTACGAATGTCGGATGTAGCAGTTGCATCCGGTACAAGTGCAAGCAGCTGACCGGCCAGATGCTCCGCACTATGTGCAGCGGCATCCGTCAGCGGTGCAAAGAGCTCCTTGGCTCATTGTTTGGCACTGTGGACGATGATTAGCGTGATTTTCGGCGTGTTGGATCGGATCGCGGTCCAAGCTAGACTTACAAAGGCAACGCATGAGTTGTAGCGGCGGAGGGTGCAGCCAGTTTGAGGCTCTGGGACCGCGATAGCAGAAACAAGGCTGATCGTAGCGAGGAGGGCGGCGATGGTGAAGAATTGCATTTTGAAAGGCGTTAACGTGTGATGGATAGCAAGGCTGGGGATAGAGATATAGGTTTGTTGGGTAGTTTGTGGGATAGGATGGAAGTGAATTGGAATGCTTGGTTGGCTTGTGGGAGAGATGCCACGGGATCTTCTTCTCTATTTATCTACTCGTAAGCCAGAGCACTTCTGGAAAAGGGGCTTGTAGCTTCAACGCCGCATTTCCATAGATTTTCTTGTAATTCGAAAAGTTCATCGTACTTCTTAAACTGAAACTCAGTATAGCTTAAATATAGTATCTTGCGGAAGTATACCCGTAGCGGATAACGTTTCATCGACTACCTACTATACGTACCGGTAGTATCTCAAAGGCAAGTAGGGTGCGGGGCTTAAACCTGACCTAGGAAGGTAGGTAGTATTTTATGCAACGAAGAGAGAGGAGTATGCGGGCGGAAAAGGGTAGTGTAAGAAGAGCGAAAAATCAGTATTTTACAAATCTTCTTTCGATCGTAAGGTCGAAGGCTCAGAATGCCATAGAGCATCTGCGAATTGAGGTACAAGTTCGGATAACATGGTATCGATGCTGTAACTCGAAAATCAGCCCTGAATACAACTGTTAATGGAAGTAGTTAATAAGGCATTCATGCGATGTTGCTCGATCAGGTAAAGCGTCCCCGTACCCTTTTATTAATATACTACGAGCTACGTCGCAGGCGTAATTGGTACACCCTTGAGGGTAGGATAACCAGGGGGCTGAAAGTAGAAATTTTAACTTTGAAGGTACCCTCAGGCTGTATGTATGTAGCAGTCCGGGCGGGGGGAGTGGTAGGTGAAATGTTGACCGCCGTACTTTCGATTTTTTTAAGTATACGATAGGGGACCAAATCTACAGAGTACAGCTGCCTTGGGAAAGGCCAGGGCTGCGGCCATTCAGAAAGGCAGGATTTATCGATAAACGGGCTTCAAGGTGCCGTTGCATTACCCTGAGCCACCCAGAAGGCGCACCCAAGCTTGTCCAACCGAATTGTGAAGTTTGTCCGCGATTGAAAGAAGAATCGTACGTAGTACGTATCTTTACTTTCCGTGGACCCCGTTGGATCGCGCAGGGGGATTTCGGAGACGGAGTTATCGTACTGAGTTATCTTAATCCAATCGTAGTATTAGCGTAAGACTACTTGGCATGCGCTTAACAGCCGAGGGAAGTAGGGAACTCTTGGAATCGTACTCTGACCCAGTACAGTTCTGTAGTAAATGAACAAGAACCTGACCTTAAGCACGGAACCTTATTCAACCTCGAAAAGCCTTACGGGGTCATAAGTCAGGGAAAGACGTCACTAAGGACCCGTACGCCTACATTAACAAGGGTACAAAGGTTCACTGCTACTGTATAGTACTGCAGTACTACTATATTGGTTAAGCATAATAAGTATTGCTTGAGGTTATTTTACGAGCTGGTTTGATAAGGTAGCGCTAACGCTGTGTTACTCAAAGGTAAACGAATCTTCGTACAACCTTACCCTAAAGGCAGGCAGGGGGTCATTTGAGCGAACCACTGACCTCCTTTTACAAAACACGGTAATTAAACCGTCTGAAATCAGTAACAGTTATAAATCAAAAATAATTCAGTTTTTGAACCGTCCCCGAGCTTAATTAAGACCGTCTGACCGTCTCATGGCCGTCCCATGGCCGTCCTCGTTTAGATTTTGAAAACAAGCTTATTAATAAGCTCGTCTTCCAAATTTAAAAATAATTAGATGACTCTCTTTAATAAATATCCAACTGTCAATAAGAACTGATTGTCAGATGGAATAGCTTCAAGAATCATTTAATAAATTCGATACTGAGGTATTTCTCGGGATCGCTGCCACGGCTTATATATCATAGATCAACGCTTCAAATCTTTTCGTATAATTGAAATCGATCGATTTAGCAAAGTTTACCCGAGACGTCACTTCCTTGATCTATAACAGGCTGTAAAAGGGTCGTTCGTGTATGAAGGGGTGGCGGGAGGTAAACTACCACGGTACAGGGCTAAGTATTACCCCTCGAGGGTGCCTCGAAAGTTTAATTCCCGCTGTAAACCTCCTGGTTACCCTACCCGCAAGGGGTGATACTTACGCCTGGGACGTAGTCGTAATTTCAAAGGTTGGTCTTCAATTTCTACTACTATTCATTCAATCTGGAGTACCGGTATCGGCTTGAGGTGATCTCCGAACTACTTGTATGCTAAGCTCTTGGAAGCCTCTTTTTAAGAGACCGACATCGGATTATCAGCTGATGGTTTGAGTAACCCCCTTACCTGCCTTGACGTAGTACGTAGTACTACTTACGTAGTACTACTTACGTAGTACTACTTACGTAGTAGTAGTACGTCCTTACTCGTGCAAGCAGGGCAGTCAGCCCGCCAAGGCGAGAATTGCTTCAATCCCACGCACTACCTCGTACGCATAAATTGCAAAGCCCTACGAGAAGCCTTAATAGGCGTTCCGGCGCACCGTGCGTCCGAGATCTGCGCCTGAGCGGACCGACTTCACGGCTGCGCGGGAAGTCTGTGCAGTCAAGTCGACAGGGCTTGGAGGATCGCTCCACGCTTTACAAGGTATAACGTAGGGCTTGACCGGGTCCGACATTTAAACGCGCAGGGGGGATGGTTCGTACTCACAACTGATTTGAACTTTTTTTTTTCTCAAGAAAAATTAGTTGTTTTTTCTAGAAAAAAAAACAAAAAAACAAAAAACAAAAGTAGGGTGTGCAAGCCGGACGCAAAACATGACCCCCTCTCCGGGCCGGCCTTCTTAACACCGATTGTACTACTGTCACATTTGATACCGGTATGGCCTACGCAGGCGCAAGCCCGATCTCTTACTGTCTCTTACCGTCTTCGACCCTTCTACCGGTACTTAGCATACTGGGCAGCGCGGGGTGCCTGTGAGATGGGATTCGCCAAGATTAATTAGCAGGCTGCCATCCAGATCCCGCTGCGCTGGTGGAACGCTGAGAGGATTCCCCCGATCGATGCTCCTCACCCAGGCTCCTGGGCTTGAGAAAACCAATATAGTAGTAGTAGCGTTCATGCAGAAGGCAGAGCCTTGCAGTACTTATAGTACTTACATACTAGGTACTACGATCGGGGCCAAGCGAGGTCCCCTGACCTGAGCCCCGATGCTTGCGCAGGGCCGCTGGCCGCTGGGTAGGGATCAGACCTTGCACCCAGCCCTGAATAGATGAACCTTTACTGTAAGTACTTAAGGGTGCCTCGGGAGTTTAAAAATTCCCACGTTACTACCGGGTATACCTACCTACTGTAAAGCGCCTGGGTATCCACCCACCTTATCCTCAAGGCTCAAGGCTCAAGGGTGCAGAAGTAGCAATAGCAATAGCAACGACAATGACAGTAACGCCTGGGACGTCCCTAGTACTTCGGACGTAGAGTAGCGTAGCGCACCGCGTAGAATCAAGAGGCGTCGAAGTCGCGCGAGAGAAAAAGAAACGGGTCGAAAGACCCCTCTAGATATATATATATATATATATAGAAAAAAATAAAATTAAAGAAATTAAAAGAAAGTCGGTCGATTTCCCCGATCCAAAGAAACGGCGGCGGCTTCAGTCATCGGTTTGTGCAGAAGAGCCGCGCTTTACTTACGAAGTACTACGTACGAACTAGAGTTCGTACGGACGGACCCGGTGGTCGAGTCAGGGTTTTTTTTAGTTAGTTAGTTACTTACTTACTTACGTAGTACTTACTTACTTACTTACCTACTTACTTGCCTAGGTACAGGCTTTGAGCCAGACAACGCCACACAGCCACAGCGCTTCTCACTACGGAGTCGCAGGCGTGGAGCAGGTCCTGCTGCTACAACGTAGCACGGAGTACAACTATTTGACAACCGCAACCTGCACACGGCGGTCAAGCGACCTCTCCCCAAAAGTAAGTAAGTAAGTAAGTCGTATCTCTACGTAGAGCAAGAGGCGAGTTGATCGATCTACGTAGTACTTTGGGCTCGGGCTCGGGGCTAAGCGGTGGGTACTGTATACCGGTATCTTTCTTTCTTTCTTTTTTCCCCCGAGATACACTCCCTATCCCTATCCCTTACGTACGTACGTATCGAAGACAGAGAAGAGAAGACGATCACACGGCTGCTTGTTCGTTCGTATTGGGAAATGAAAGGGGTAGATACCGTACTACTAGTAAGAACTAACTAAGCACTACCTACTACAGTACTACACTAAACACCAAAGCGTCTACCTAGCCCTGAGCCTCCTCCGCGAGGGAACCCCAGTTAGGTAGGTACCGGTACCTACCTACCTACCTCACCATTCAGCGAGCGCTAAGCCTTGAAAGGCGACTCTGGGTGTTTGGGGGACGGATGGATCGATGGATGGATGGATCGATGGATCGCTTTCGTGGACCCCTTGCTTGCTTGCTTGTTTGCTTGTTTGCTTCCATTCTCTGAAGAAGAAGAAGAAGAAGAAGAAGAAGAAGAAGAAGAAGAAGTCTACGGGTACCTACCCCCCCCTCGTTTAGGTCCGGCGAGAGGTATCTTCGGACTGCGGGCCGCGGATGGCTGGCTGGCTGGCTGGCTGAGTAAGTGAGTGAGTAATCGGTCGGTCGGTTCCATCATGCTGTATGTATACCTACCGTACCACTTACTGTACCGGTATAGATTCTCTTCTTTCTCTGTACCACCTACGTCGTCACGCGCAGAGAGACTTGGAACGCATTCACTCACTCTAACATCGTCTACATAACGGAAGGGCACACGCGAGGAATACCTACGACCCATCCACATCTGGGAGACGGCTCGGTTGAAGTATATATTATATATTTACTATCATTACGACAGCTTCGATAGTCGTAGAGACGCACGCGGTTCGAGTCGGGAAGGTCGTGAGATTTTCACGGGACTCTCGTAGCTTCTGACGCGGGACACGTAACTTTCCCGGGACGTATTTACATGCTATTGATTCAAGGCCTGCAATAGGGAAAAGCCATGGGTACGCGACCCGTGGCTCGGGAGGTGCTCTTTGCGGAGCCTTGCCCGTTGCTTTCACCTTGCTGGTCTCCATCGCCTGGTCCCCCGTTTCCTTTCCCTCCGCCGTCCCTGCGCCGGAACCGGCTCCGGTGCCTTCTCCGGGCGGCGATCGTTATCCAAAGGGATCAGGCTGGCTGGTCACAGCGGGCGGGGTGGCTTCGTCGCCCGGTGTTTTGGTCGCCAGGAAAGATTTGGCCCTGCTAATATTGATTAATTTAAAACTGACATCGATAGTGGAAGGACGTACGAGAGGAACTTCTTCTGAAGTGCGAAATGCTTCTTCGTTTCATGCCATTGATATACCGTGCCCTTTGCAAATGCGTAGCATAGACCTTACACATGCAAAAAAAGACTGGCCTGAGCCCGTCCTAAGTGATTCTCAACTAGCTTCTTCTTTTTCCGAGGGTGAATACTCGAAATCAGAGGTCGAATATAAACTCGCTTCGCAATAAATACTGTACCGACGCAGCATCAAAGTCTCAGGAAGTCGATCGATTTCCATCCTTCTTTACATCTCCGGTTCTTTAAGCGGCGACAGACGATGATATTCCGCACAAAAAGGTCTCGCACAGGGTCAAATACAGAAAATGTCGGACCATTGTTCCTCGGTCTGGCAAGGCGGTTAGCGATCGGGATGCGATCGGGATTGCCAAGAACGACTCTGCTTTTCCGCCTGTGATCCCACAGATAGTTGACGACCAATTCTAGAAAGAGTGAGTAGGTGCCGACACAACATTACTTTTCATCTTTTCCTTACCGGCGTTCTTCACCGTGCGATTGTCGAAACACTCGCAACTCCTGCCTCTCTTTCGCCCCCCCCAAAAAGTTCGAGGTCGAACTTTGGCCGTTGGCGGCAGCGGGGCTAATTTATAGGCGCGAGAGACAGGATTTCGAGTTTTGATGGAGATGAGGTAAGACCTCTAATTCGCAATCAGAGATGATGACGCTGAGGTTTGAGGTCCGGAGCCTCTATTATACGTCTGTTGCACGAGAACAGCAAGGGATTCTTAAGAGCAATAGCCAACCAAAGACGAGCGCCTTTGAGGTCTAAAACCGTTAAGTGTATGTGTTTCGAGACCTGCCCGTTTCCTTCGCCTTCTTCCAAAAGGTGGAAACGGTGCTCGGTTTTTCGAAGGGTGCGTGTCGGTTTGCACAGGCAAACAAACCGCGAGGAGTCCGGGCGAATCCGTGGTGGGAAAATGGTCGGCAGAAGGTCAGCCAGCCGCTCCGCGAGCGTGCTGTGCTGGATGTCCTGACGCTGATAGTAGGGATCGAGCTGGCGATGTTCCGGCCGATCCGGAGAGGCCATCGTGGCTTGAGATCACTCCCAACAGCTTCTGACGGTCGGAATAGTTTTCGTACTATTGAACGGAGGCTGCGATTTGCACACTGGACGCTTCGAGACCCCAAAGGGACTCGTAGAATCGTGTGCCCATCAATCGTTGTGCGAGAAGGTGGGTGAAAATTTGCTCTCTAAGTTTTCAAAGTAAAAGGTTATAGTGTATAGCACGTGCTCAAGGCACGTGCCAAGGTAGCAATAGGCCAGTGGCGATGCTTCCTTGTCACCTAGAGCGGAAGCGAGATACGTCGATAAAATTTCTAATTTGAAAAGGAATCTGCTCTCGTATAGGTAATGGCTACCGTGGTCGAGAATTCATCCTCCACTCTGCAAAGGCCAAGATAGGGGTAGCGAGCCCCGGCTAAAGTCCAAATCAATAATACCATTTCCCTCCACCAAGTAAGCTTGATGCTGGGAGACTGACTCTGTACGAGATGCTGACATTGTGTGGGCTGATGAGGGGAAGTGCTATGCGTTAGGGAGCGAACACTCAGACTGCTGAGGGTAAGCTTAGCAATTCCACAATGCTCAGAAAGCTTGCCCGTTTTTTCTGTACGGCCTGGCGCTGGAGGAGATAATCTGCTCCGAGAAGACGAGTTGCAAATTCCAAATCAGCTCGACTGCATAGATACTTATCTGATTTGGAAGAGGTGGATTTGTTCGCATCTGTGGTACAGCGGTTATCGTCTAGCCTCACTGTGAGGTTGGCTTAATTAATAGGTGTATTGTGTCGCATAATGAGGGGTGATTCACGATGCTATTATAATAATCCGCGAGCGACTCTTCAATGACCGGCTTTTGAATGATATACAGCCCAGATGTGGTGTGCTCAAGTAACAGAGAAATCTCGGTGCTGCGGTCGCTCTCTTACATCTGAGAGGATCGGATACCTTTTTGTATTCGGCAAGTGTGCTATCGCATAGATGAGTCAAAGGTAGGGAGGGCATCAGAGATCAGCAACTCAGAGCTCCTGCCAGCACCGAGACGAAGAGGCAGCAATGCAGCGTGTCATGGGCATTATACATTAGGCATGACCAACGGCCAGCGCAGGTGGAACACGGCGCTGAAAGTCTTTACAATGTAAACATCTCTCGTTTCTCTTGGAAATTCCCTTGAAAAGTATCTGAGAATCTCAACAAGACTGCATTCACCGGCATTCATATTCAACTTCAACTTCCCGCCAGCGTAGAAAACACTTCTGACATCTAAATCGTGCGAGAATGGCAGCTGTCGACTCCCCCGACGCGGTCCAGACACGAGACGAAAGCATCGATATCACCAGCGCGTCCAACGATGGTTCTCCTGGCATGGGCGACAACGCCGGACTGGGAGGCCATGCTTCGAGAGAAACACATGATGATATCTAATCCGTCTTAGTTAATCCACTTCCCCCCCCCCCCGAAAAACAGCAAAGGACGTGTTCAACCGCAGCGTACTCCCGATTCTCGCAATGCGCATAGATCCAGATTGCCGTCCGGAGTCGCTACCAGGACGGACACGGGAGACCAGCCCGCTGACGGTCGAGTTTGACGATTGGATACTCCATTTCAGAGACGCCGGATGCGACTTGGCCGCGGCTGCAAAGGTCTATGAGAAGTCGCCTGTCGGGCTCATCCACCAAGTCGACGCGCTTTGTAGTCCTGGGGCGAGCGGAGGACATGTGTGAGAAAGCTGTGGACGACACGTTCGGCAATCTATCTTCTTGGCATGGCCTTTCACCAGCTGTCATCCGTTCTACGTGGGATGGTAGCAGGGTTCCATTCCGCTGCTCAGGGCCATCGGCGGATTGTAGGGGTCAGCGCGATCCCGCATAAGGAACCGGACGATGCTCTTGTTGATCAATCTGAGTCTAAGTTCGGGGAAATTCGCAAGAGGGAACGCAGGCTGATATGGAGAAATCGTAAAGCAACATCGTCTCCTTCTCTCTTATCAATGCACTCGCTTATAGAGATTTTCAAGATGAGATTACGCACAGAGGAATGTACGCACGTAGTTCGCAGTCTCAATAAGTAGTGAAGTTCGAACAGTGCTCGAACATTTATCGCGAGGAAAAAAATTGTGGAAAGGCAAGTCACCCGCAGCCCTACTTCCCAAACCGGACTCTGGACCGATTCATAAGGAGAAAATATCGATCGATGTCGGAAGCTCGTCCACAGCTGGAGATGAGGGGAGAGGTACCGCGGTGCTGGATGGAGGTTGGAACCCATATCAAGAAGAACCTCTGGGGACAGCAACATGGCACATTGAAGGCTCGCAGGAATCTCCGTGGGCCCATACCAAGCATGCGTGTTCGATCATCCGCTCTTCAAGCAGGACAAGCCTCGATCCCGTCGGAGACCCCCTAGGGCACGCCGCTCGACTCCGCGACCTCGTCTCGAGGATGGTGACCTCCACGGCGGATCTTCCTCAGCGCGTGGCAGAAATCGACGAGACTCGTAGAGCGTCAGCAACGAATCATCGCTTGGCTCTTTCGTACCGCCATGTGGTTGAATGCGCGCCTCTCCACGAAAAACCAAGAGCCAAAACTGTTGGTTCGCCGGTAAAAACAAACGTCAAACAAATGAAGCTTCTTCTGTGTATTGCAACAGGTAACAAATTGGGTCTCTTCAGTACTGAAAGTTGGTCATGATGATTCTTGATTGATTTCTAACTGAAAGGTATACTCTTATAAAAGAGTATACAAATTCCTATCAACTAGATTAAAGGGTGAACAGATCTCGGAAGTTGTAGCTCCGAAGGGGCTGTGTAGCGGAAGTTGAGGCTCCGAGACAATACCGCCAAGGGTATTTTCCTCGCGTAACTCGGAAAATACTAAAGGGGTCAATCAATCCCCATCCCCCTAACTCGTAGTTCATCAACAACCAAGTCATTGACTCAGAGTTCAATGAGTGAGGAACCGACAAAAACAATAACGAAAACGATCCGGGGCCCAGATGGGCGGTTTTCGAGGCAGATGTTTGGGCCAACGCGGAGCACGATCATAGGGGAGAAGTGATTGCAGACCAAGAAGGCACTTATGCCACTGTACAAAAGAACAAAGGAAAAAAAGGAAAGGAAAGGAAAGTACGAGGCATATGAAAAGAAATTTCGAAGTTGCAGCATTGCTTTTTTATTGAAGATGTTGAGTGCAAACATCCACGATTCCCTCGATCAGAACACGCTTGTTACTGAAGGCTAATGGGACGCGTATCGCAAGAAGATTCGAGAGGCCTCGACTCCAACAAATGGATTCAGGCAAAGAGACTGACGCGCTAGAAGAGCGACAGAAGTACCAGATACCGGGAAGGCATGCGGATGACCCAGGTATCGAGAAGAACAGCCTAGGTACTCGTGTCTTAAATTACATCAGCTAAATTCTACTACAGGTTCCGAAGAAGATTCATTGTTTGAGAAGTCAGAACGACAGCTTAAAGGGAGCAGGCTGGATAAGAGGGGAGATATGATTGATTCTCGGTGTTAGCATTGCTTGAAGCTGGTCGTGCGACCATGTTATAGCGATGCGGGAGGTCGGACGGGCGGAATTGTAGATGTTGCATTACTAGAGTCCGGCGTATTTATATCTTTTTAGGATATACGCTTGTAGGCTCTGGCTTTGGCTTTGGCTGCCTCTTCACAACTATACCTATAGCCGTCACCGAGGTGACTAGCCATTGCAGGTAGTTACAAGTATAAAAAAAGACGTCGAAGCGGCGAAGCCGAAAAGCAGATAGTCCATCTCACCAGCAACAGACAACTTACCTGTGCTCCCAGCTATGAAACGAAACCTGTCACGTCTGCGATACCATACCATGCTGTCCACAGTCCTCCACCCTACGTGAGCATTGATCATGGAGATGTTATCCTTACGTGATTTACGAGGGCCCTGAGTGCGAAGCGAGCTCGTTCGGCAGGGCCCGAACATCAAACCTCTAATTCCATGGGGTGGGGAAAAAAACGAAAAAAGATTTCCCCGTCCGATACAGCTCGGTAATTTGAACTATCCCATATCCAGTGACACGGCCAAGAGCCGTCGTCCTAAATGCGTATTGTACTGTTAAGGATCGAGTTTCAGGTCCCCCGCGCGCTTCCTTCCGGAGTTCTGCGTGGCTGAGACCCTTGCACATCGACGCCACATTACCCAAAGGATTCTAAATCCAAGCCCAAACCTAGAATATGAAAATAGAGATGAGATGGGTATATCACGAACGCCATTTCCCGAATTCCATATTACGTTCACTCCTTCCTGTACCTCTCTTGACAAAACCTAGGGTTTTGCCAGTGTGGGAAGAGAGAAATTGGCTCCGTTTGATTCGACTCCATTTCGAAAAATATGGCGAGAGAGCTCAACTGCACTGATGCGCCGGCCGAGGCGGCGACTGATGGGAACGTTGCTGGAGCTGGAGTCCTCCTGTCCTTTATCATCACTGCTGCTCTCTCCCTCGTCCTCTCCCTCGTCATCGTCGCCCATGAAAAACACGGCCACTCGTCGGTCAAAACCATCCGCAAATTGCTCCTCTCGCTCTCCGATCAACAAATCCTGACCGGCATCGGCATTCAAAGCATCGCCCTTGCGAAGATGACGACCATGGTCCCGTACCACTTCTTTATCGTGTGGATGCTGTCCTTGCTGTCGACGGCGACCCATGTCGGTACGCTATTGGCGCTAGTCAATGACTTCAAGCGGGACTGGGTCTTGAGATGGCTCCGACAAGTTCTCATGTTCGTCAACCTCCTGCTGTCGATCGTATCGGGGATTTTCATCTTGATGTCGGTCATGAAAGACGTGCCGCCTACGCTGCCAATCGCTTGCGTGTGGGAGGTTGAGTCCACGGGCACGCCATCGAATGCTGGGACGTCCATTGCAGGGACCATTGCGGTGATCGTTGGCCAGCTCGTCTTCTTCGTTGTCGGGGTGTGGTACCTGCATGTCAAGAACCGGGCGTGGCTGAAGAGTATCCAGCTCGGGGGCTTGCTGGTGCTCAGCATCATCGGGATGTTCGCTGCGATCAGGGTTATCATGATCAGCCAGGCTTTTGGGAACCCGTCGGTGCCGCTGAGAGATATGGGAGAGAAGATCTGGGATTTTGGGCAATTGCTACCCCTCCTGCTGTTACTCCTGCCGCTGGTGTCGATGATTGAGATTATGAGAGGTGTGTTGCGCGTTCGGGTTTTGAGTGAGTGCGTGTTGACTGACTGCGCCCAGGTGAAATGAACATTCCGTGCCCGCTTTTGGATGGTCACGGTGAGCCGCTGCTGCAAGACGGGGAGAAGCTTGCTTGCGATAGACGGTCGTTCCAACCAAACCCGTTCTGGGGTACTGAGATGAATCAATTTGGAAAGTGATGAACCAGCCAGGCTGGGGTATGCACGAAGAACAGAATAGTGTTGCCGTCCAACCTATCATGAAGTCAGTCGTCTCATCATGAGTCCGCCACCATTGCCTGAAACGATCAGGCTTTTGAATCGAAACAAAACAAAAAGACGGCGTGAGAACGTCTCTCGTGTCGAGGGCATATTATGGCGTGGCGATTGCAGAGCAAAAGGTTCCGAAGATGACCGCTGGCTGAGTCCTCAAGATAAGTGGAAGGGGCTGGCGAGCCGAGGAACATCGAATGCTCATACAGATTGTTGGCCGAATGTATGAGCCGGGGAAGTTCAAACCAAAAGACGAATGAATCTGAGCTTCATTGACTGGGGCTTGAAGAAGCGACGGAGACTGAGATACAATACAGTTATATACGTATCCAGCTGAAAAGGATCAATTTACCTGCCTGGCCTGCGTCAATATGCAGAGATTATGCAGAGGCAGAACAATAGGCGAGATCGAGGTACAGAAGCATGAAGTGACCTTGAGGCTTATATTTGTTTATTTGTTTGCCCATCCCATCCCATAGCCGAGACGAAGATAAAGTTATATCTGCTACCACGTGACACAGTGTTACGTACCTTCGTATGTTGGGTGACGCGTCTGATTTTATTTCCACAGCATCGACAGCGATCACGTTCGACGAACCCAAAATCAAAAATGTCTCCGTCACCTTCCTCCCGTGATCCTCCCCTCTCCTCTTTACGCAGGACCCAATATGATATTTTCTCGTGTCCATCTCGTCCTCTGTGAAATTTTCCTTTACCTTTCCTTCGCGAATGCAAGTGAACAGAAGCCGCTGCTAGAACACGATGCGCCCTCCACCAAGACCGGCACTAGCACGTGGAACCTGAATTTCTCCTCCGAAGCGCCCCATTACTTCGCCTCTGTATACGGGCTGCTCCAGCAATGGCCGAATACATTCTTCCCCAACGGCCACAGCATCGTGCCGTGCGAGATCCCGCCGTTCACGAACCTGTATCACGGCCGGATGGATGCTCGGCTACCCCCGAGTCCGGAATGGGTAGCGTTCGATAGGTAGAACAGCACTCCCAGAATATCACCAAATATCTATTGACTGACTGGTGCCAGTGAAATGTCCTATGGCATAATGGGTGGCACCCGAAACTCCCATATGCTCACCTATCAAACCACCCGATCCGCAAAGTGCATCTACTTCGACGGCGAATCTGCGACCCTCTTCGGGGCCGGCCAACTTGATTCGCAGATGCTGCATATCTTCGGGAATACCTCTGGCCCCCCCCATGCCCGAGGGACCCCATTTCCTGTGGGGGGAATATACGCGGGCTGCCGGACTTTACAATTGGATACGCTGACAAGAATTAGGAGGGCTGGGGTGGGGATACGAAGGAATCGTGAGGATGAATGCGGGCTTCGAAATGATATGGTGCAATTTCAGTAGTCCGTCACTACGGCTGCTTTCGCATCTCAATGTCTCGGCACCCCTGCTGGGTGAACAGGTCGAAGTCGAAGATAGTGGCATTGCTCTGGATCTAACGTGCTCTGAACATACCTCCAAATTTCCTCTGCCTAAATCTACGGGCGCCGTGGCAGAGCCATCGACTCTACCTGGGCCAGACATTGATTGGGATCTCTTTCGGCGCGAACCTTTCCAGACGAAAAACTGGCGTTGGTATCTGAGTGCTGCACAACATTACGGATCCTCGGGAATTGGCCAGGGCGTGGGGAGACGAGGGTCAAGCTTAGCACTTGTGGACTGTTGAATTACTATGACCCGGTCTTTGAAAGTGCCGGAATTCCTAGAGCGACGGAAGAACAGAAGGCATTGAATCTTACTAGCGACGGCTCGTGGACCGGCCCTGGGAGAGTTGCAACGAGATTTGCGGCATTGCAATCTTTGACTCGCCGACGAAGACTGCATAATTTGCAGAACATCACATCGGTGGATGCTGCAATCATGAGAGCCAACTCGGAGTGGGTCATGCGGACCTTCCTTGATAGTCAAGTAAGCAAATGCACCGGGCTCGATTGGTCGGTCCTAGCGAATAACCTGGTCCAAGATTTCGCCAGCGCCCTGTTCAACCTCGTCAAGACAATTAAAAGTTCGAGGATATGATATCAAGCAACCAGAATTCAGTTCGTGCCTGGATGATTGATGTTCGCGACCAGACACACGGCTCCCTTGTACCCTTTCTGCAGTACCCGGAAAACATTTCGGAGGAAACGTGGACTAGGGTTTCCAGTATCTTCAAAGAAACGTACTCACGCTGTCGCTTTGAACACACCCGACTACTCGACGCAGATCTAGGTGTGGATCTCAGCCACGAAGAAGCACTCCTGAAGTGGGCTGTCGAGGAAACTATGGGTGGTATTTGCTCCGTCATCGTCGAAGTAGGGTTAGCCGTTGAGGGAAGATTGATGTCCGAATTCAACACTCCCCTCAACTCATCTACAGCTTTACTCACAGCAGATATGAGGCAAGATGTACAACATTGGGCCTACGGCATCGAAGAACTGATGGCATGGCTAGGATGGGCAGGAGAGTGGATCAGCTGCGACAAAAAATGCGATTGGGATGAAAGCTGTGTCATCCCGATGTGGCCATTGATCCACTGGGTAGCGGTCGACGCAGACGCCCTTATGGTGGACCGCCACCTTATCGCTATGGCTACCCGGGTAACCCTGGATCTGGAACTCCAGGTAGTGGAGAATTGCCTCCAAGCTATGTATATCCCAGTAACGCAACTGGACGCCAAGGTATTCCTTCCTGGGGAATGGGTGAAGAAGATCTGTGGACACCGAAATGCGTCAAATCTGATTATTTGCGAGGATCTTGACATGGGCTCCGCACGAGCCAAGCGAGTTGATGACTTTTCGAGACACGCTGTATTCCGATCAGATTTCATCAAGCCTTGGACCGAACACCTGCAGCCTTGCCCTCTACTTTGTCTCGCTTCGCCGACGAAGTATATACGATCGATACGATCCAGGAACCTTATTTCGACTTCTCTCGACTCCTACCGAGAATGCCAACCTGTTCTGTCAGTGAATAGTAATTATGATGATGTTTCCATACGAAGAGACTTTGGCTTGTTAAAGCCCATATCCTTTTCAGAAACCGGAATCACTTAAGCCACTAAGGAAGCTGTGGGATACACCCATGGGTCAGTCTAGGCCAGATCCGTCAATTGGTCAATTGTCCGACAGGCTACCAGAAGACAATATTCCATCCACAAACCAGCAAGCACGCACAGACAGAATACGATGTTCATGAAGTCGTGATATTCAATAACCTTTCGTCACTATTCATCCATTCATCACCAGCCAAGCCAAGTTTTTTTTCCCCTAAGCACTCATTCAAGAAGCGTCAAATGACTCACACCCAACCCGTTTTTCTACTCTTCCATCTTCATCCCCAATTTTTTATACCAACCCTATAGCGAATTTTGTTTTTGGAGAGATGCGCTATTCATCTATGCGCGGTACATGTTGTAGTAAGTCGACATGCGGGTGATTTGGTTGGCGGTGAAGGACTCGTAGCATGAGCTGTGTTCTCTGTCAGCGTTCATTCTTGTCCTTTTCTTCCATCCCATCTTCTTGGTATTCCACAGTACACGATTTCCAGCAACCTTTCTCCCAGGCATTAGGCGGAATGGGAAAAAGCACTCACTCGGATGAGTAGTCCATGTAGTTATGGATCGGGTCAACGCCAGCCGCGTTGGGGCAAGAGTCGCGGCCAACAGGGCAGCCGGTGGTCGAGCTCAATTGCTGTGGGGTATCTGCGATGGAGTCACCGGAGCCGGAGCACGAGTTGCCCTTTGTTCACGTCAGCTTGCGATTCCATCTTCACATCTTGGAAAAGAGAGCTTGAAGCTTGAAGCTTGAAAGGCCTGAGGGAGATAAAACATACCTGGAAGGTGTGGAAGAGGCCGAACCAGTGGCCCACCTCGTGTGTCACCGTCTTGCCGAGGTTGTAGTCTGTCGCGCTGCCACCCGGCACAGTCGAATATAGGACGGTGCAGCCGTCGTAGTAGAAGTTGCTGGAGCCCCTGGAAACCCTGTTCGGGAAGTAACAATACCCGAAGTTGCCGCCGATTTCGCTGAGGCACTTGGAGTCAGCATTGCCATTTGGAGTAATGAAGAGGAACACGGATATGTTGCAAGAGGCCACGAAGAAGTTTCAAGACCGGATTAGGACTGAAGTCTCCCTCGACAACGTATAAGAAAGAGAAGACAAGGCTCGGAGAACACTTACTACTGGAAGTAGATGTTCAGGGCCTTGTAGTCGCCCTTGCGCAGGGCCCTCTTCATGGTGAGCTCAGCGCCGTCGGATGCCCACGACTTGTTTATCGTGTAATCGGTACCCGCGAGGGCGAACTGGAAGCCCGAGGAGGCGTAGTCGGCGTTCATGACGGCCAGCTGTTGCGTCAGCTGCTCGACGGGGATGTAGCCCTCCGAGGCAGCGGATGAGCGCGCGACAACGTGGAAGTAGGTCTGAATCGTCACGGTGGCGGCTACGTTCGTAGACCTCTGTTGGGCAGCGCGGGTGCTGTTTGCTGCTTCTTCGGCGGCGATCACCTGGGCTTGGGCGAGGAACTGGGCGGTGGGCTCGACGCCGCAGCCAAATTTCTTTGCCCGGGGTGCGTTTGTTGGGTGTGCTGAGATGGCGGAGACAGCAGCCAGTGCCAAAGCGAGGAGGTTGAAATGAGCCATTGTTTTTTTTTTCTTCTTCTTTCTTCTTTTTTTTTCTTCCTTTCTTTTTCTGAAGGTGGTACTTAAGTTAGTCAGTCGATTTTCTCACTTTTCTTCCCCGTCTTGTACAGGAGACTGGATGGATATCTGAATGGATGGGTGCTTACTGGATTGCGAGAAGAGGAGAATGACACCGGGGGATGGATGGATGGATGGATGAGTGGATGGAAGATCGAAGACTCTTCTCGATTGCTACAATCATCTCCCACCACGGCCGTCCCTCAGCTTTATATACATACCATGTTTGTCGCTAGTCCGTTCTCTTTCTCTCTTTCCTTCCTTCCTTTTTGCTTGCTCCTTCCTCCCTCATCGCACCGCCACCTGTATCTCGCGTCTGCTAGCTTCTTTCCTTGGGCATCACCAGAACATCTCACGCGTCATCCAGAAGCGGAAGGCCCCTAGATAGAGCTAGCGCAGAGGTGCTATATGGGGGCCAAGAAACTGCTTGTACCAGGCGTCTGGCTAGAGCCAAGGGCCTTGTGGCGTCCTTGCCTCCGCTATGTCCCAAAGGTTGGTTGTTCGTGCCTCATTGGGACATGGGAAAGAGAGCAGTGCGGAGATGGCGGCCATGTCTCGGACTTTTGCTGTGCTGTGCTGTGGACGTACCGGCGACGGTTGCAGTACCAAGGACTTGCAAGCCGAAGGAGAGGGGATATCTGGAAGATCTGGAAGGTCCGGGAAGTCCCCTCAAAGACGCACTGGCTGGTGGGCGAGCAGTGCATGGCCCCCTCCCCGGATATTCTTCTTTTCTTGAGCGGTACCCTGCCGCGGAGATAGAGCAGCGGGTGGATGGGCGGGTGGGCTTCAAGAGCAAGTGGTGACTTGCAGATCGGGAGATACCGCGGGCTAGCTCTTAGCAGGCCCGGGTGGATGGGTCCATGGTGGGAGCGTGAATGAGTGAGTGCGTGCGTGAGACTTTTTTTTTTTTTAGGGGGGGTTTACGTAAGTGGCATTCTCCGGTGGGAGTCTGGATTAATTGCCCGGGAGATACAGAGTTGTTGTTGGGGTCTTGATGGGGAAATGGACGATTTGCGTTCGTTGCTGGAGTGCTTGCTGATGCTAGAGAGAGGAGAGAGAGGTAAGTAAACAAGGTGCTGGCTGACCTCGCGAGATTCAAGGACCGCTCGCTCACCCGGGGTATACACTGCATGCAGCACTCACTCACTCACCCACCTACTCACTCGCCTTGTGCATCAAAACGGTCGACCCGCCCCGATGGGATGGGGTGGGATGCAACGACGCCCCTCCCTGTCTGTCTGTTCTTGGTATCTCTCCCGTCTGTCTGTCTCCCCGTCCGTGGTCTCTCCGTCCGTGGGCGACCTCGGATATGAAAAGAAACAAAGGCCTTTGTTTGTTTGGTTGTGGTAGTAGGTAGTCAAAGCCGCTGCCGCCGTCGTCGTCGTCGTCGTCGTCGAGACCCTCACTTGTCATTTTCTCGTCTGTTGTCGTCCAATAAGCTCTCGGTCTACCCAATTCGATTTTGTTCGAGTGTTGATCTGATGGGATGGGCTCGGATGTCCCTTGTAAGCGAACCACTTGGGAAAGCGAGTAAGCGAGGAAACGAGTAAGCGAGCAGGTACAAGCAGGTACAAGCATTGGAAATCAAGGAATTGAAGCTTTTCTTTGGGTGGAGGGGGTTTAGTCCGATTCGATGAGGGGAGAGGGGGGTAGGGTCTTGCATTTGCATACCGAGCGGTGTCTAGAAAGAGACAAGGAGAGGGAGGAAGAAGGGAAGGTGGGGGTGATCTAGGGAGGCTTGGCATTGCGATGCAAGGAGATAGGTAGGTAGGTTTGGCTTTGATGAATGAGGTATGTATATATCTATTTGATCTCGTCTGTTTCTTCTTCATCTTCTTGTTGCTCTTTTCTCTCTGTCTCTTCTTTACTTTGTGATGATTTTGATGTGTGTATTCCTGAGGGGTGCTGGACGTGGTTGTAAGAGTGCTCCATGCTGGCAAGCTGCCTTGCGATAATCCACAAGGGGCGCGCGCAGCATTGATTGATTGATATAAATGCAATTCGAAAATTCGATCCTGTATTGCTTGATTGTCGCTTGCTGCCTGCCTGCCCGCCCGCCTGCCTCATCAGCTTGCGAGTGCTTCCCTCCTCTCCCTCTCCTGCATGCGCTTGTGTGTTGTGTGTTGTGTGTTGAACCTATCGCGCTCCTGTGGTATTTCTGACATGGCACGAAACCAACAAATCTCTATCGCACGTCATCAAGATGAGCGCTCACATCTTCTTCTGGTTTCTTCCACTTACGTTTCGCACCGATCGATTAGTGAGTGGGTATTTGTCGCCTGTTTCCCACTCATCGTACTTACTTACCGCTGATGGTGTTCTGGGTTCGGTCTCACTCGTGTTATGCATTTATAGATAGATAGACAGGGAGATAAGTGAGTTCGGTGAAATCTGGGTTCTCATTTTCTCTTCTCTTCTCTTATCTTCTGAATGCTTCTGATGCTTCAAGTTTTTTGGGGGGGTATCTGTTCTTACAAAGCGGATTGGTTCATGTGGCGGTTGGTCGCGCAGACTTGAGCAAAAGCTGAAAAGGAAGAGGAAAAAAAAATTATGCCATGCTATGCTATGCTATGCTGTGCTCCCTTCATGAGTCGTGGGTCATCATTCATCATTCATGTTTTCCATGTTTCCATGTTTGCTCTTCCCTTCCCTATCCTACCCTATCCTATCCTATCATTTTGTTGTACATGCAAGCCCATCTAACTCCTCAGACTCGAGAAAGAGAGAGAGCGGTTTGTTTTCTCAATCCGTACACGATCGGCCGGCCATCCATCGACCACCGACTCAGTTGCGTCGACGAATCCGGCTCTGGCCAGCGCAGGCCCCGAAGGCGCGCTGGCACCCCGTGCCGCAGTGCAAGGGGGTTGTGCCGCAGAAGCCGAGCGCGGAGCAGCAGTTGGATCCCGGGCATCGCTTTCCGGCGCCGCACGAGCCGTCGGTGCTGGTGCCGCTGTCTGCGGCTGGTGTTGCGGGGGTGGTGGTGGTGGTGCCGTTTGAGGGGTTGGCGGGCGGTGGTGGTGAGGCTGAGGGGGAAGAGGGGGAGATGCTGCTGCTGGCTGGGGCTGGGGCTGGGCTGGGGCTGGATGGTGATGGCGGTGATGGTGCGACGGGGATGATTGAGATGATCGCTCCTGGTGCGGAAGAAGCTGGTGCTGGGGCTGAGGAAGCTGGTGCTGGAGCTGAAGAAGCCGGTGCCGACGAGGCTGGTGCGGAAGAAGCCGGCGCAGGAGCCGGAGAAGCTGGAGCCGGAGAAGCTGGAGCCGGAGAAGCTGGAGCCGGAGAAGCTGGACCAGACGAAGTGCCGCAGTTGATGGTCGAATCCGGGGTTCCCGTGCCGGTGACATCGGGTCCCGGGTTAGGAAACAGCGGATCGGTCGAAGCCACCGTCTTGCAGCCGTTTCCCGCGTTGATGTTCGCGACGAACATGGCCGGGCGGTCCTTGAAGGCCGTCTTTGCAGCCGCCGAGCCCGCGCCGGCCGTGATCTCAATCGGCGCACAGTTCTGGTAGAACTCCGGCACGCCGCTCAGCTTTGCGACCCAGCTCCAGCTGAAGATGGCCTTCCCGACGGGCGCGTCGGCGGGGATCGTGAAGGGCAGCTTGACGCCGGTCGCGGGACACCCGCCCATGATGGACTGGATCACGGTGAAGGTCTTGGCGCCGTCGGTGGACAGGCTCAGCTGGCAGCTCCCGCCGCCGTGGGCGGCCGAGCCGGCCAGCTCGACGGCGCTGGCCTCGCCCTGCTTGAAGGTGGCGGTCGGGGCGCCGAGGGCGGGGTCCGCAAGGTCGACGGCGTAGCCTTTGCAGAGGGCCTGGTCGGCGCCGAGGGGGCTGGTCATGGAGAAGTCGGCCTTGTCTTTGTTGGCGCCGAACTTGGAGCGGAAGGGGATCGGAGAGGACATCTCCATGTGGGCCGTGACGGGGGACGATCCGAAGATCAGAGCGGCAGCGAGGAAGATGGCGGAGGTATGCATCTTGGCTTTTGCTCTTGCGTGCGCGCGTGTGTGTTTGGTTTGTTTTCTTCGTTGGTTGGTTGGTTGGTCGGTAGATTGTATCTTGATATTAGTCTGGACGACAACTGTCAAAGCTGTGGTCTAGTGGTGCTTGTAGAGGTGGTGTGGTGGAAGGGAAGATGGGGTTGTGTATGATCGAGAAGAAGGAAAGAAGAGGAACTGGTCGGTGGCCACGCCCTTCCTTAATACTCTCGCAATTCTATTGTCCTCGATTCTGGCACTAGAAGAACAATAGGAGCGAGTGATCGAGATGGCATTGTTGTTCTCTCCGACGCTAGCATTGTCGAGACGTCAATAGAACAAGCGAGAACTCGGGGAACGAGAACAACAAAGGAGAAAAAATTATGAGCCGGAGGCGCTAATCACATTAGGGCGACAACAATGGGAGACGGGGAGGGACACAAAAAGAAGAAGTTTCATACGACAATGGGAACGCGGAGTTGGATTTCTATTGTTATATGTAGGAGCAGGACTGGAGAAGGACTGGGAGGGAGAGAGAAAGGGATCCTTTGTACGGGGGTGAAAAAAAGGGTCGGTGTTTCGGGCGGGCTCGTTTCGCGAGGATCGATTGGACCGCAGGACTTCCCCGACAGAACAGGACAGAACAGAACAGACAGCTGTCCACACTTCTGGGGGATCATGGAGCGAGTGAGTGAGAAGACTTCAGGTTGCGGAGTGAGTGACTCGATGGGAAAAAAGCTTGAGGTTTTGAAGCTTTTCAGGGGGTGGGGGGGGACGTATTGATTCTCTAATCTCGACTTGATAAATAAGCCTGCATTTTCTTCTCAGGCTCAGTGAGACGGTTCTTCCACAAGTTACTTATTTTAAATGATACCCGATCGAGTATCCCTTCGTCGCTTGTCTTTGTCTTTGTCTGGTCAAGTCTGGTCGAGTCTGATCGAGTCTGGTCGCGGTTCTCGTCTCCCAACTACTTTGTCTCGTTATCACAGCCACACTGCTCTTCCGCAAGGCGAATCAAATTCTTACCTTCATCATCGATGTATACTGATATTATTCAGTGCGCCGATCGTAAATTAAAGATCCTCAATTGATTGCGAGACTACAGGCACGGCAGAACAGACGGTCTAGATCCCATACAAGCGCGAACAGCGCTCAGAACCCATCGATGGAAACAAAGCAAGGTTTTCAAAATTGAAAGTTGAATCTCAGAAGCGAGATCGAAAAAGGGACCTGCATGGTTGAGTATGTTGAAGACGAAGAGGGTTGAGATGCGGTTTATTGATAGAGCGAGATTGGAGTCGGTAGAGAAAGTCTCCTTCTCTCATCTTCACAACCCGTCTTCACAATCCATCCTCACACTAAAGCAAGCCACTAAACCCAGAATCGACTCGAAAACTTTCCCACACCATCTATAAATTCCCCCACCAACTTCAAGAACTATTATTCTGCAGATCTCTCAAGTTAGCTATTATCGCTATTTCCGCATCGCCCTGGCCTTCGGACCTTTTCCTGCAAGCCTATATCCACATATCGTATATGTCCTGATACATTTTGAGGGACGGAGCATTTAAATACCGCCCGGTTCATATTGACTACGATGTGGATGAGGCCCGGGGAAGATTGTTTAGGGCCTTTGCGAGGGGATACGAATTTGATTTTTGCTGATGCTAGCGAAATTGGGCGAGGAGAAAGAAATGAAAAGAAAGAAAGAAGATTCATCAGATTAGGATATGACTCGGTCGGTCTGTGTAGGCATCCTCCATTCGGAATTGTCCTTCGCGACAGAACAAGGATTCCAGAACGAGCATTTGCATTTGCATTTCGAAAGCATTTCGAAAGGGGAGAAAAAGGAAGGAAAGGAAAGGAGACATTTCTGGATACCCTCCACACAGCCAGCTCTTCCTCAGCGTTAATCAGTATTCACAAATATACTTCGAAGGAGCGTGGATGCCTAACTCGTTTAAAAATGGGTCTGAGATTGACAGGGATAAAATTAAGCGATAAAAATACAACTGACTTGACAATTGACTGACAATATGACTAGCAATCCGAAATCTTTCAGTTTCCGTC